CAAGACTTAGGTGGACCTATGACAAGAGGCAGACTTAGAAAAGCACAAGAGGCATTGCAATACAAAGTGACCAATTTGCTAAAAGCCCAACTATTAAAAGATCCAAACATGGAGGAGTCTAGACCTATCACATGCATAGAATGTTTGGAGAGCTAGGAGGCCCAACTAAAAGATTTAGTTTTTATTATTATTATTATTTTATTTGCTATAGAGGGGATTTGAACCCAAGACCCAAAGCTTATAATGCCTTCACTGAACCATCTGGGTAACTTAACTTTGCATTAACTTGTATTAAACATTTGGGAATTCAGAATGAAGAGAGGGAATATTCAGATTACTTTGTGAGTTGTTGCTCTACTAGGGTTCTTCCTTGCATCACTTGATCTTATCAAGAATTATTCGATTCTTGTGGCGATCCTCTTAGCTTATCAAATATTCTTATTTGTGGCGCCTACGGTATCTTTTATGTTTTTTTATTTTTTTTTTAATTTCTAATCAAATCAACTCTTAAAACCTAACCGTAAATTGTTTCCCTTCTATTTGAGTGTCGTCATAATTCTAATTTTTTTTCTCTCCATGTCTATTCCATGTCGTCATTACAAGTAAAACTTTCACCCAAACTTATCATTGCTACACTTGAGCCACTTGCCATCCTTCCACCACATTACTACATCACCATGTTCATTGCGTCAGTCACACCAATGCGTTTCAACTGCGTTACAACTTTTGTTACGTTTCAATTTCACGTTTCAATCATGTCATAGTTTTTGTCATGTCAATGCCACAATGTTTCAGTTTCACATTTCAATCGTGTTTTAGTTGTACCATAGTGTTTACCACATTTCAGTTGTACTACAATATTTATATTGTGTCATCGCGTTACTGCGTTTCAGTCCTACAATTCAGTCGTGCTTATTAGAAAAAAATAAATAAATGTGGGTCAGTGAGTCAACCCATCAACCTGTAATAGGTTGAGTCAAGTTGTGAAATTTATGACTCACTATAAAACGAGTCGGGTTGAGCTCAACTATTTTCAACTTAGCATGTGATGAGTCAACATGTGTGGACCATTGACTCACTTTGACACTAGGGAATAACACATGTTAAGTTGAAAATATAATCATTAATTTTTATTATTAAAAAGTTAAGAGAAAACTTTTATTTATGTTCTTAAATTTTACAATTTTTTTTTTGTGTTGGACAAAGTAAAAAAATAAAAATTGAAAAGATTGATTTTGAATGTTCTGTAAAATGAAAGAATAATTTAGTTTTTTTTTCTTCTAAAAAGCATTTTCTATAATCTAATGTATTATTCTTAAATATTTTAATTTATTAAATTAATCATATTACACAATTTAAAAAATAATTCTCATATATTTTTATCTTAGTTACTAATTATTGATTCATTTTTTCCCCGTAATTTCAATTTAAAGCATCTTAGAAACTTGTTTTTAACTTTTTTCCTGCAGTGCTTTTTCTAATATAAAACTATATATTAGAAAAAAAAATTCTGGATTTAACATTTTAAAAAATAAATAAAACTATGTCTTGTTAATACTACATATCTTTTTCAATTTAATATTATTAACTAATTTCATTATTATAATGAGTTAGTTAATTGAGTTTTGTAAAAAGAATATTCTTTTAAAAAATATAACAAAACATTACATTTTAATGATAAAATAATAAAAACTGAGTTATATATATATATATATATATATATATATATATATATATAATTTCTTTTTGCACAACTAAAATTTCAAAGTAACAAATAAATATTTAAAATTGTTCTCTTAAATTTTCTAAAACTTCTCTCTCTCTCTCTATATATATATATTTTCATTACTACAGCAACTATAATCCATCATTTAAAAAAAAATCAGTATTTAAAACAAACATTTTAGTTGTACTCCTATAATTTCAAAAACAGTTTATAAAATTTGAGTGTAATTTATACAAATGTAAAAGGTTTAAACTCTAGTGGGAAGTTAATATGACAAACTACTATAACAAAATTATATATTTAAATATTTTGAGAATTTGAAATAAGTTTCAGTTAACAAACATTGGTATTAATTCAGTTATGAGAATATTAAATTGTAAAATAAATTGTGCAATGCACAAGAGAGAGAGGAAGCCAGTGCAATATGTTAGGACACTAAATAATTGTTGAAGAAACATGTGATTTCCAAATAAATAAAGTATTATTGACCTTTATTTCTGGGTGATGTTAGTAAGTCACGTGACATTCTCGCTTGGAGTGAAACTGAATTTTAACTATGAGATGACATGAAGTTAAAATAAAATAAAAATAAAAAAACCAAAAATGTTTTATGCGACAAAGTTAAGAGTCGAAATAAAAAATAATTTACATAATTTTTTTAATCGGTTGAGGTATTATAATATATTCGAGTTAATATTTCGATGTTATTATAATATAAGATAACAAATTTTACAAATACATGATAAAAAAATATAATATATAATATTAATAAAGATGTTTCAAATTGATTATATAAAAAATTTCTTTTTTATTATATGTTAAATTAAATGAAAAATAAAATTAATGAAGTATAACAAATTTAATGAAAATAACACCACAAAATTAAGGGATATAGATACAGGGTGAAATATAATAAAATATAATTTACTGGTAACATGATATGGATTAGTTTATTATTAGTTTTATTTGTATGATTTTTTAGTGAACAATTTTTTAATTTTTTTAACTTCATTTCCATCAATTATTCATAAAAAGTATAAAAATTATTTTATTTATACTCTTCATTTACTCTGTTATTTTTTCAATAAAAATTATTTCTATTACTCATTATTGTTAATAATTTTAAAATCTTTTAAAAACATAAATTTTAAAATTGATGATAATGTTTTGGCAATAATAATATTACTTTATTATCATTATTATTTTTTACTATATGATATTTAACCTTTAATTTTTTAAAATATTTTTTAATTCATTATAATATTTGTTAGCATATTTTACTTTATATTTTTAATAAATGTTCCATTTTAATAACATTATTTTGATGATATTTATTTATTATTTTTATTTCTTTCTTAATTATATTTTTATGTATTATTATTTTGTTTTTTATTTAAATTTTTCTTCATCTCTTAATAGGTATACTATTTCACATTTATTGTTTTATATATTTTTTACCATTTCAGTATTATTTCATAATTATTATTAGGACTTTAGTATTATAATAACTTAAAAAAAACTCTCACTCCTTATTTAAAAAATAAAATATTTTTAACTTTAACGACTAATTTCGGTAAAATTATTTCAAAGAAAATTGATTCTCCTTTATAAATTTTGTAATATATTTTACAAATGTAATAATACATTATTATTTTTGTGCATTTCATTATATTATTTTATTAGTAGTTTCGTCTTATACTATTTAAATTAATTCATTATTTGTTCAATTGAGCTATTTTCATAATTATTATTAATATTTTAGATTTTGAAGTAATTTTTTATAATTATAAAAGATATCATTTTGTTTTCTAATTTATTATTTAATTTCCTCAGCATTTGTTTATCCTAGGTTGCTTTATTTAACCTTTTTACTTGAGGATATATTTTTTTTATAATTAAATATAATGTGTAATATTTTTATCACAATAAATGTTTTGTTAACTTTTTTATTTTTTTTAAATAAATGTTTTGTATAATATATATTAATTATTAACGTTTTGATGGTAAACATTATTATTCAAATTATTTATACATTTACAAGAGTAGTAATAAATTACATCATTAAGCACACAAATGTGTAAAAATTATTCACAATATAAAATAGTAACTATAAAATATCAGTCTATTTTAATTTAATTAGTTTACTTTTTTTAAAAACAATACTCTTATGTAATATATATTTTTTAAATAGTTATTATTTGACAAAATTACTCTTACGCATTGTAAGGGTACTTTTGTCATTTAAAGTAAACAAGCATAATCCATAGTACCCCAATTTCTCAAAATCTCCTTAACTCCCCAAAGCAAAAGATTTACTTTTTACCCTATTGTGTCTGTTGCAAGATATGGTGAGTCCTATTTTTACCATACATGATTTTTTTTTTTAAATTAGTATTTTTATTAAATACTTCCAAATTTTATGTAAATAAATTCCCTTGAAATTCTTTCACCTCCTTCCCCCGCTCCGTCCCGGACACCAAAGAACGCCGCACAATTCCTTCCGAAACAAGAGTCCCAATTACCGAAAGGGGATTTTCTTTTTCTTTTCCCTTGCAAGTGCTGCAAGACCTAGATAATCACTTGCATCAAATTCTTCGTAACAGTAAAGGTCAGTGGTGATGGAAGAACGATTAAATTTCTTGCAGTTTCTGGATTTGCATTTTTGGAATTGTATCTTCAATCGATTTTCACCTCTAAACCCTTTATTGGGAACAGTGTCTGTTTCAAATAAATAACACCTTTCGGTTTCAGATTCTCTCCTCATTCTTCAATCTTCATGCGGTTTTGAAGTGCAACCCCTATCCCCTATCCGCAACTGGAACTTCAACCGTTCTCGAGGTCCATCTTCCTCTTTCGTTCTTTTCAGTTACTTTTATTTTTTTTCACTTTACTGTTTCGCTTGCTGTTATATTTACTTTGCGCGCACTGCGAAAGCTTAGTTAAATCTTGCTTCCACTAAATGTTCAATTTGGGACTGGTCAGACATAGTTTAGATTTTGCCTCAATTAATTACTGTGTCCGTTGCCATGAACGCGTGAGTACTAGAAGAGTGACCCATGTTTTTGAATTCAATTCAATCTTGCCTCAATTAATCCATAGTTTTGCGTGGAATGATGTGGTGATGTCATATGGATAATCCAAAGTATGTGTTGCATGATGTGATGACGCAATAGTGGGCAATGCATGTATGTTGCTGATTTTCAGGTATGAATTTTGGAGTTTGTAGCATATTCAGGAAATTTATACACTGTAGTGTTCTTGCAGGTTTCGAAACATGGATTCGCGGAAGGGCAAAACTTCTTGTCGTGCATCTTCGGTTGGTGTTGCACATTTGAGTGTTTCAAATAAGGTGGATCAGTTGGTGGCGCCCCCTAGGGATATGGGAGCTGTTGAGACTGATCTGGATATAGACCTTAGGGAAGTTTACTTTTTAATCATGCACTTTTTGTCTGCTGGGCCATGCCGGAGGACTTTTCTACATTTCAAGGAAGAACTTTTGGAGCATCAGCTTCTACCTAGAAGATATCATGCTTGGTTTTCAAGAAGTGGTGACCTCGAAGGGGATGATGGTGATGATGATGGCTTCTCTTTACCTTTAGATTACAACAATTTAGTGGGCAGGTATTTTTCCTTTACAACAAGATTGGGGTAGAATATTTGATGGTTTTATTGCCATTTTATTACTATATGCAAGGTTGAAATTTATGCATAGCTTCAATATAGATATTTTTTTTACGCGGGCATGATGTTGTTAGAATTTGAAGTTAAATTTTATTACTCTTCTTGTTGAATGATGATCCAGTTTTAATATGTTTGTTAACTGCTAGCAGAAACATGTATTATATGAGCCTGAACTCGATTTTTCTTCTATTATATCAGTAAATGAGAAAAATATATGTTTCAAAATATCAGTAAATAAAATTACTTATTCCCCATGTTTCAAAATATATGTTGTTTAAGATTATACACTAAGATTAATAAGGTTATATAAATGGCTAATTACAAAAAAAAATGTAGTTTTATTTGACCAAGCTACTGTGAAGTTAAGGGTCCATTTGGGATGATTTTTAGCTGTAAGTTTTTAAATTTAAAAATTTCAATCATTTTTTAGTTTTAAAAAAATTAGCTTTTAATTTTAAGAATTAGTTTTTTCTCTTCTAATTTTTAGTTTTGAAATAAATTAGTTTAAAATTTGTATCTTAATTAGTTTAAAGGTATGTTGATATGGTGGCAGTGCTGAGTTAAGGTTATTATAAACGTTTAATTACAAATAGAAAATTTAGATTTATTTGACCAAGTGCTGAGTTAAGGGTCCATTTGGGATAATTGTTAGCTGTAGGTTTTTAAATTTAAAAACTTCAACCAGTTTTAGGTTTTTAAAAAATAGTTTAAAGGTATGTTTATAAGGTGGTGGTGGTGACAATGGAGTTGGTGACCTCGATGAGAAGGTCAGTTGCCAAAAGTAGCAATTGTGGATTTTTTTAAATTATAAAACCAAATTTATAAATATTTTTTTCTTAGTTTTGAAAATGAATGCAAAGGTATTTTGAAAGAGTTAAAAACCATTTCAACTTCATTTTTTGTCAAACATGTTTTGTTTTGTAAATTGCTTTTGAAAACCAAAACCTAAAATTTGCAACCACCCGGAAGGCCCAAATCTCAAAATTCTCAAAATATGATGACTCCATTAATGCTCTCTCTTATTCTATTTAGTGGTGAACCAAAATACTAGGATGAAGTTAGAAAGACGTCATTAATACTTAATTTTTTTAAGTGATAGATAAATTTTAACAAAACGAGTTTTCTAAAGTGGCAGATTTTGCAAAAAATTGGTGATCATAGTTTGGTCCACATACTTGTTTATATTGAAAAGACTCCTTTAAAATTGTATATGCTTATATATTCATGTGAAGTGGCTCCATGCTTATGTTCATAGCATCAGCATTTAGGCAAATTGATATACATAAATAGTAAATAAACCTTTATTTTCCTTAGTGGAAGTTTTCAATTTCAATATCTGGTCATACTTTGATATTCTATACTATATTTATCTCTGAATGGTTGACAGTTGACTGCTACTCTCAATCAGACGGGCTATCAATACACTTGACCTTTAAGTGCATAAATGACTATCATTTAAAAAAAGGTTGTACTTTATGGTCAATGCCAGTATACTTAAATGTTTATTGTTATTAAGCATTGAGTGATCTTTTTATTTATTTGAAGTTAAGTATTGGAAATGTTTTATTTTAAAATAAAAAGGAAAATAGACTAGACTTGTGTTGGAAGTGTGTGATTAATACTTGTAGAGATATCTCCATTTAAAAATTACTTGCAAATAGAGGATGCTTCGTATTTTAGTTCAAATATATTTTGTTATTTGGTTCTGAAATCTTCTCTCATTAGTTATAGTTACTAATTGATATTACCAAAGTCTTAGTTATTGTTCATTTTTGTTTTTTGTAATTACTAGGTATCCTCACATAACTAAGGATCACTTGGTAAAGCTTCTGAAGCAGTTGATGCTGAGTACGGTCCATCCTTTCCATGGAAAACTTGGAGGAAGTAGTCCTAATGCAGCTGATGTTCCTACTATACTTGGATATGGTTCATTTTCACTTCTTGATAGTACGTGGAAAACTATAGTAGTTTTTTTCTTGAATATCATTCAAGATAAGATCCGCACATCATGAACTCAAACTGAAAAAAGTCCAATAGTCTTAGGCTATTATATGAATTTAATGAATATGCAATTTCTACATTTTTATTTAATGAGTTTCTTTTATTAGTTCTGTGATATATTCTCAAAGGATGATTAATATATTAGGGCTTAAGTTACTAGGTTTGGAATTGGTATATATCAAACCTTGTTTTGGTTTATGCTTTGGTAAAATTGATAATTGATTGAATACATGAACCTCCCAAAATTATATTTGCTTCTATAAGTACACATTTTATAGTTTGTTAAAATAAGCATTTTATTCTATTATTTCTTTGGTATGTACCTAGCATTAGGGATAGGGTTTACGACAGGAGCTTACCTTTTATTTTGTACTCTCCTATATATAAATATAAATATATCAATGGTAAAACACACTGATTTCTCAGTACATTTTATTCAAGTCAGTTATATCCTTGGTATGCTCCAGCATGATTGGTACTGCCATATACAATGTCATCATTGTGTAGCATGTAGTAATCAGCATGTATAAAAATGGAATGTTGTTCAAGATCCCAAACGTTTAACCACTTGATTAGGTATCTTTAGTTCAAAATTTCTTCCCAGTCTTCCCTTTTGACAAATTTTGTACTGGTTTGAAACTTGTATTGACAAATTTGCATTTAAATATGTCTGGAAGTTGCTGTAGTTGGCCATGTCTCCAACATTAACCTCAAAATAGATATGTGGAAGAATAGATATTTACTCTATTTTCATTCCTGTGTATGTACAGGTGATAGAAAAACAGCTGACAAGCTGGTGAAACCCCCACCTCTTTACATGCGCTGGCCACACATGAAGGCTAATCAGGTTCAGGGGCTAAGTTTAAGGGAGATTGGAGGGGGTTTTACAAAACACCATCGTGCTCCATCCATTCGCAGTGCATGTTATGCTATTGCCAAACCATCTACTATGGTGCAAAAGATGCAAAATATTAAAAAGCTAAGGGGGCATCGTGTGGCTGTCTATTGTGGTATGTATTACACTTCTTTCAAACTTGTTATTAATATGTTGGCTTCATGTAGATGCATTTTCTTAGTTCATGTACCGTTATTCTCATGAAAGTCATTAATTAGATCTGAGTCACATGACACCAATAAAAGTTGAATCCAATGTTTTTACATTATAATTGTTGCTTTCTCTTCCTAGAGTTTCCTTTAATAACTTGAACTTAGATGCATTTAAATAGTTACATTTGTAGCTATACTTATGGTTGATAAATTAAGAAAAAAATGATTTTATCTTGCAGCCATATTTGATGGATCAGGGAGATATGTTATTAGTGGTTCCGATGATCGTCTTGTCAAGATTTGGTCTATGGAAACTGCATTTTGCTTAGCTAGTTGCCGTGGACATGAAGTGAGTCAAGAATATGGTTTATTAAAGTAATTTTGTTAAGTTTGTTTTCCTTTTATTATATTTTAATCTTATCTTGGCATTATTAAACTGAAGGGTGATATTACTGACTTGGCTGTAAGCTCAAACAACGCTTTGGTGGCATCTGCTTCAAATGATTTTGTCATTAGAGTTGTAAGTAATATAGCTCAATTGATATGCTCTGCCATGCAAACCTTGGGCAACTAAGTTGACATTTACTTTATAACAGTGGCGCTTACCAGATGGGATGCCGATATCAGTTTTGCGGGGACACACTGGTGCTGTTAATACTATTACTTTTAGTCCCAGTGTCATATACCAGCTGCTATCGTAAGTTTAAAGATTTATTATGGTCCATTGTTGTCTTTCTATACATTGTCTTAGTGATTCTTGTGACGCACAAGAGATAAGTCTTGCTGTTAATTTATTTATTTCATTCATAAATATTGAATTGTAAAAACTTTGCTAGGCTCACGTCCTGTGTCATACAAAAATCTCTACTATTTTTTGTTTGTTAAACCATGTCTTTTATTTGGGTATGTAATATTGTAATAAATACTAATGTCGTGAATGTAACATACTCCTTTTAATGCCATTGGATCACTTTGTGCCTCCAATCGCTTACAAAGTGTATATGTTTTTTAAGAATAACTGGCTATGTGACAAACACATTTCACAATTATATTCTTCTGCAGATTAATTACTTATTTTTTACAAATTCAACTATTCTTAGTCCTTTGTTAGAATATATAAAAAATGTTATATACTATCTTGTTTATATATTATTAAATAGCTTATCACATTAAATCTTCAAATCTTTTAGGATCTTTATTCTTAGGGATTCATCTTATGTTTTGGAAGTTATTTGTTCTTTAGGATTAAGAGTCTAGTATTGGTATAAATAAGGCTTAATGCTTCTGTATTTATCATATTATCATCAAATTGAAACCCGTTAAAATATGAAGAAATTATTATTCAAAGTTGTTCATTTCTATTCCTTTCCTTGATATTTATTTTTTTAATTTCAACATGATTTCAGAATGGTACCATCCCCCAGAATCTTGTCATTTCTTTGTCCTCAAGTTCTGTAAAATCAGCTCTACTTTATTTCCATCTCTTTTCATAGCAAGTAATCATCTTTTGCTCTGTTTCCTCATCACACAAATCTTGATCTTTTTTTTGGCACTGCTGCTCTGTTTTGGCTATTGTCTCCATTGCTGTACTTCCTTCATTATTTTACACACATCTATGTCATCTATTGTTAATAATCTGACTTCTATGACGAATGTAGGTCATCTGATGATGGAACTTGTAGAATATGGGATGCGAGGAATTCACACAATCCCCGAATATATGTGCCTCGACCTCCAGATGCTATGAATGGTCAGTTAATTGCTTCTATTTCTGTAAAAAGATCAGACCTGGAATTGGAAATGGTCCGAGTTTGGCATTTTTACCACTAAATTTATATGGTGGTACAGTCTATTCAGTTTTTAAGTTGGATCAATTAGATACTGATACCATACTTAATCAATTTTTACCATATTAAATCCAATATAAAAATAAAAATCTTTTACATTTTAACATGTTTTTTAAATGAATACTACACTTGGAACAGTAGATGGATTTATCAAATCTAGTTCAAATCAAAACTATGCTATTTGTGACATACAAATTGATGACTTTTGCTTAAACCTTCCAGATCAGTAGTCTGACCTGTTGTTGACTGCAATAATTACCTTTTTGTTATTTGGTTATGTTTTGATTGAAGAATTATAAACTTTTGCAGGGAAGAGCAATGCTTTACAAGTTAGTTTGCCATCCTCAAGCAATGGTCAGCAAAGCTATCAAGTACTTTGTTGCGCATATAATGCAAATGGAACTGTTTTTGTTACCGGTAGCTCTGATACTTTTGCTAGGGTTGGTTTACTGATGTACTCTTCACAAATTTCCTATTTTCTTCCATGAATACAATTAGCCCTACTTAAATATAGCTTCTATGCATATATGTTGAGAAAATTACTGCTATTTGCAGGTGTGGAGTGCGTTGAAGCCCAACACTGATGACTCAGAACAACCAATACATGAGATGGATTTATTATCTGGTCACGAGAATGATGTTAATTATGTACAGTTTAGGTTAGCCATCCTGGTTAGATCTATACTTATTTGTTTTACTTTTTCTTTTATAAGGATCCTTATTGTCTTTGCTATTATGCATGCAGTGGCTGCTCTGTGGCTTCAAAAATTTTAACATCTGACCCCTGGAAAGAGGAAAATACATTGAAGTTTCGAAACTTCTGGTATATCCTAGTGCCTCTTTCTATAGTTTTTTCTACTCTGGTTTACTTTTATTTAACGTAACAACTGTAACCCTGCTCTCATTACTAAATTTCTGTTGCATACCAATGTCATATATTTCAGGTATTGTCATGATAACATAGTTACCTGCTCTCGTGATGGAAGTGCAATTATATGGGTTCCTCGATCACGGAAATCTCATGTGAGATCCTTTAAATAGGATTACCATTGAATTTTGGTCTATTTTTATTCTTAAAGGCATTTTCTATTCCAGAATTATTTTGGGCATCTTTCTGACATGCAGTTTTAACTTTTCCCCATTGCTTACTGTATGAAATATGTTTCCATCTTCTATTTCAGGGAAAAGTTGGACGTTGGACCCGTGCATATCATCTAAAAGTGCCACCACCACCCCTGCCTCCCCAACCTCCACGAGGTGGTCCAAGGCAGAGGTTGCTACCTACACCTCGTGGTGTCAATATGATTATATGGAGCCTGGACAATCGCTTTGTACTTGCAGCTATTATGGGTAAATGTTCTTGCTAATAGAAATAATTGAGCAGGGAAATTTTTACCAACATATTATACATTTTGTATACTAGTAAATTAAATTGACAGCACTTATGTCCAAATCATAGTCATGGTGGGATATGAAAGTTTTGTTTTTTATTGCCATTTGATTATCTCCTGTTTTCTGACATTTGTTCATTATCCTTTGCTGACCTCTCATAACTAAATCATAATCACTCTATTATGTTGCAGACCTATTGTGTTAAATATTAACCCTTTGATATGAAAACTAACTAAAATTACATAATACATAATTTTTCTTACCTCAAGTCCGCTATTGTGTTAGACTCACTTTTAAATATGCCTTTGGTGTTCATTGTGGAGCTGGTAACTGAGGTCCAAACAAGTAGCAAAATGGACAATATCTTGAATGCAGTTAATGATCCTATCAAGCAACAAACTTGAGGTTGGAACAGTAATGAAATATTTGAAGGATCCAATTTGTTTCATACATGTTTTTCCAAAATGGATTATCTTATAAACTAAGCTGTCAGGGAGCATGCATATTTTCTACGTGGTACTACTGCTTGCTGCGGTTCATGTATCACTAAGCATTATATTGCCTCAACATGGATCCTGGTTTAGCATGCAATTGGTATTTTATTATCCCCATATAGAGTAGAGAATATTGGTTTTGTGTCGTTGATTTTTTATTATCCCATGTGGATTATGGAGTAGAGAATATGCTTGCCATTGTTTCATATATTACCGAGCATTGTATATCATCTACATGCTTTTTGGTCTGGTATGCAATTGATCTTTTATTATCCCCATATGAAGTAGAGAATATGGTAGGTGTTTGTTAAAATTTATGAGGGAGTCTAATCCGAGTTTGCTATGTTCTAGAGATTGATAGATTTTTGTTATGGGATTGAGCTTCAGGTAAATTAGATTAAACGAAATCTTATTTTATTATATTAATACAAAGAGATTATACAAGATATATACAGGAGACTTAAGCTATTTTAAGAAATATAATAACTCTATTTTATTCTAGGATCCCTTAATTTATGGGATTGTTCCTAATTGTTCAAATTTGTACAGATTACAAATTTCCTAATTTATTCTTACCTAAAATACTATTTGATTTCCCACACTCCCCCTCAAGCTGGTGAATAGGTGTTTTCCATTCCCAGCTTGGATACAATCTTCTCAAAATTGTGGCAGCCCGGTCCCTTGGTAAGAATGTCTGCAATTTGGTCTTGAGAGGACACATATGAAGTGCATATCAAGCCACTATCAAGTTTTTCTTTGATGAAGTGTCTGTCTACTTCAATATGTTTTGTTCTATCATGCTGCACTGGGTTGTGGGCTATACTGATTGTTGACTTATTATCACAATAGAGCTTCATAGGTTCTTTCCATTTTATCCTCAAGTCTTCTAAGATGATTTTAAGCCATAGCAACTCACATATACCTTGTGCCATGGCTTGGAATTCCGCTTCAGCACTGGACCGAGCTACTACACCCTGCATTTTGCTTCTCCAAGTCACAAGATTTCCTCCAAGAAATGTGCAATATCCTGTAGTTGACCTCTATCCACAATTGACCCTGCATAATTAGCATCAGTATAGGCTTCAAGCTTCACATTACCAATCCTTTTGAATATAATTCCTCTTCCTGGAGTTCCTTAAGGTATTGTAAAATTCTGTGGGCTGCATGTAAATGGGTCTCCTTTGGGTTATGCATAAATTGACTAATTAAACTCATTGCATAGGCAATATCTGACCTGGTATGCGACAAATATATAAGTCTGCCCACTAATCGCTGGTACATATCTTTTTCAACAACAACATCTTTTGCATTCCCAAGCTTTAGGTTTGGTTCTTGTTGAATATAGGGTTAATTTCCCTTATGTATTTACCACACATAGGGCAGTGTATTTATAATAAAGAAAGGTACTCCTCAAAAGAGTAACAGAATACAAATAGGGTAAATAAAAAGATATTATTTGATATTGTGATTAACAATATCTCAACAATATCAAACAATATCAACTAATATCTAATCATATCTAACACTCCCCCTCAAGCTGGAGTATACAAATCGTATGTGCCTAGCTTGGTACAAAGATAATCCATCCTAGGTCCCCGTAAAGACTTAGTGAAAATATCTGCTAATTGATCACATGAGTTAACGAACTCGGTCTTGATGTCTCCGGACATAATCTTTTCCAGAATAAAATGGCGAGTCAATCTCAATGTGTTTAGTTCTCTCATGAAAGACAGGATTAGAGCTTATATGGAGAGCGGCTGATTGTCACACACTAGTGTCATTTGAGTGACATCTCCAAATTGTAGCTCTTTAAGCAATTGCTTGAGCCAAATAAGTTCACGAGTAGGCTGAGGCCATAGCTCTATACTCGCTTACGCATCTGGATCTTGCCACAACACTTTGTTTCTTACTTTTCCATGAGATCAAGTTACCACCAATGGAAACACAATACCCGGATGTAGATCTTCTATCGGAGGGAGATCCCGCCCAATCGACATCCGAATAGCGAGACAACTCTTGTATGATTATGGGAGTCATACACCAAACCTTTTCCAGGAGACTTTTTGATGTACTTCAATATACGGATGACTGCATTCCAATGATCTTGACAAGGAGAATTGAGGAATTGACTCACCATACTGATCGCAAAGGAAATGTCGAGGCGAGTAAGCGTAAGATAATTTAATTTTCCAACTAATCTTCTATACTCGTTCGAGGATCCGACATTGGCTCCCCCGATTTGGCAAGAGTTTGGTATTAGGATCCATGGGTGTGTCAACGAGGCTTTGAATTCATCAACCCGAGTTTCCTCCAAAATATCCAATGCATACTTTCTTTGAGATATAACAATGCCATCGGTAGATTGTGCTACCTCAATACCCAAGAAATATCCGAGTTTGCCTAGATCTTTGGTTTGAAAATGGTGGCAAAGGTGTTGTTTCATCCGAGAGATGCCATGATGGTCACTACCTGTAAGAACAATGTCATCGACATACACTATCAAATAGATACATCCGAGCATTCGAGTGACGGTAAAAGGCCGAGTGGTCCGCCTCACTTCTAGTCATGCCAAATTGTTGAATAACGTTGCTAAATTTTCCAAACCAGGCCCTAGGAGACTGTTTTAGGCCATATAAAGATTTGCGAAGACGACATACCAATCCAGAAGACTCCCCCGAGCAACAAATCGGGAGGTTGCTCCATATAAATCTCTTCTTGCAAATCGCCATTCAAGAAAGCATTTTTGACATCCGAGTTGATAAAGAGGCCATTGTTGAATAGCGGCCATGGCAATGAATAAACGAACGAAGCCATCTTTGCCACTTGGAGAGAAAGTATCACCATAATTCAACCCAAAAATTTGGGTATAGCCTTTGGCTACAAGGCGAGCTTTGAGGCGATCAATAGTACCATCGGGACCAACCTTGATAGCGAAGACCCACCTGCAACCAACAACAGAATTTTCGGATGGTAATGGGACAAGCGTCCGGGTTCCACTAGTCCGAAGAGCACGAGTTCATCTAGCATGGCCTGACGCCAACCGGGGTGGGCTAAGGCTTCGAGAGCAGATGTAGGAATAGACACGAAGAAATAGACGAGAGACAGGTATAAAATGGTGAAGAAATTCGATGATAACTTAAAGCGGTATAATGTGGAGAAGGATTACGAGTAGAACGCGTACCTTTACGAAGGGCAATAGGAAGGTCGGACTACGTGGACGGAGCCGGAGGAGGCGAGTATTTGGCACTGGGAGTGAGTCATGTGACGTACTGTTGTGGGCGAGGTCTGCGACTATAAACTCGAAGGGGTGGTGGAGGAGGAGGGGCTAATGGTGGATGGTCCTCGACATAAGGATCAATGAGAACGGGAATGGGAAGCGTAGCGAGATGGAGACTCAGCGGGTAGGGAAGGGTCCTTAAAGTAAAAGGAACACTCATTGAAGGTGACATCGGCGAGACACAAAATAGCGATTAAGAGAAGGAGAAAAACACTTGTATCCTTTTTGGGATCGAGTAAATCCTAAGAAAACACATTTGTGTGATCGAGGAGATAACTTATCATGACCAGGATCAAAATTATGGACAAAACGAGGTAGACCCAAAAACCTTCGGAGGTAAAGGATGGAGAGTGTCATGAGGAAATAAAATAGAATGGGGAATTTTGTTATCTAAAACCGAAGAGGGCATACGATTAATAAGATAACGAGCGGTAAGAACGACATCACCCCAAAAATGTTGAGGAACCTCACCATGAATTAAAAGAGTACGGGTTGTTTCAATAAGGTGTCTATTCTTGCGCTCGGCCACCCCATTTTGTTGAGGGGTATAAGCACGGGAAGTTTGATAAAGAATGCCATGAGAAGCCATAAATTGTTTAAACGAGTTTGAAAGATATTCACGGCCATTATCACTTCGAAAAGTTTGAATAGAGACACCAAATTGATTTTTAATTTCATGATAAAAGTTTTGGAATATAGAAAACAACTTCGAACGATTTTTCATTAAAAATAACCAAGTACAACGAGAGAAATCATCAATAAAAGTAACAAAATATTGAAAACCTAAATTAGACTTAACACGACTTGGGTCCCCAAATGTCGAGTGAACTAAGGCAAAGGGGGATGAGGCACATCTGGGAAACACTACGAGAAAAGGAAGTACGACTATGTTTGCCTAGCTGACGGGACTCACACCAAATTGGACAAGCCAGGATAAGGCTGGGAACAAGTTCTTGTAATTTGCGCGAGCTGGGGTGACCAAGGCTGAGCATGAAGAAGAGAAGGAGACTCCATAAGCGTGCCAACATGTGGAGAAGGTTGAAGATAATAAAGTCCATGTGACTCACATCAGGTGCCAATCACTCTTTGCGAGCTCCGGTCCTGTAGGGAAACAAAAGTTTTGGTAAAAGAGATAACACAATCAAGAGATCGAGTTAGGCGGCTAATGGATAATAAGTTAAAGGGGGACCG